CTTTTTTTGTAATCCACGATTGAATTTTTTGTTTTTTTTTGTTTGTTTTTTTTTGTAATTTATGATCGAATTTTATGTAATCCATGATCGAATTTTTTGTAATCCATGATTGAATTTTTTGAAAATTTGTGATTTTTTTTTTTTAATCCATGATCGATTTTTTTTTTGTAATCCATGATAGAATTTTTTGAAAATTTGTGATTTTTTTTTTTAATCCATGATCGAATTTTTTTTGTAATCCATGATAGAATTTTTTGAAAATTTGTGCTTTTTTTTTTAATCCATGATCGTTTTGAAAATTTGTTTTTTTTTTTTTAATCCATATTATTCAAAGAGAAAATGAGAGAGATGATGATTCTGAGGCCACCCTATCCTAGCCATATTATTCACATATCGAGTCCCAACAGCAATAGTATAGGGATGAGCACGACAGTGCAGGTGAGCATGAAGGACGGACAATCTTCGGGGATTTTAGATTGGGAACACAACAAAACACTAACACTCAAGGATTTGGGAATAGTCAGACGCCTACTAATATCGATGATTTTTTTAGATCGAATCAATGAATTGTTAAACGAATTCAATCAATGGCACCAGCGTGACCAAGAAGAACAATAATGTCGTCTATCATTTTATTTTTAGATCATATGTTACTAATTTTATGCTTTATTGTAGTCCATGTATGTTGATATACTTATTCCATGATAATTATATGTTTATCCTTTTGTGTGATGTAAATTAAATGCTGAATAGCGGTTCATGCAGGGAAAGAACATATCAATATTCGCATATTCATTCAAACACATGAAAATTCTTAATGGTGTACCCTCATTTCTTATTGAATTCCTAAAAAACAATATTTATAATGAATTTTAATAATTTTTTCGGATTTTTTTTAAGCTTTATTCGGACCGATTCACCCGATTCCCGATCCGGATCCCCGATTCACCGATCCGGATCGATTTTTTGGAAGCCCGATCCGGGTCACCGATCCGTTTTTTAAACCATTGGTCCAAAGAATTCTCCGGCCAGTCCACCTTCAATTTTCGGCAACCCCAAGACTTCTCCAGCACTTTCTTCAAAAGCATCTGGAAGCCTACGGCGACCCTGCCAGCCTCTCCAAAAAGTTCTGCAAGCCTTGTCGCATCTTCTTCGACAATGGGCATGTGATGGGGTTTCATCAGCAGAGTCACAAGTGAAGAGGATAGGTCGGCCGCTGGTCACGACCATGTGATGGGCCCTTGGTGGCACTGTTTTCTGCGGTGTTATAGCATTGGGGGAGAGATAATAGGTTGGCTGCTTGGGCACAGCTATGTGATGGGGCTTGGTGAGCACTGTTTTGTGTGGTGTTGTAGTAGAGAGAGAGATAGATGGGGGAAATATAGAGAGGGGTTTGGAATCACGAGGAGAGGGATGGAGTAAAACTCAAGGAGAAACACATGAAGAGAGAGAGAGAGAGAGAGCTTTAAAAAATATATTTTAAAATTTTATTTGGGCTAAAAAGATGATGTAAAAATGGTTAAAATTAGTCCAAGGGGTTAAAAGATATAATAGATGGAATCTTTATACAGTCATATAGGTTTTAAAACCTTGGGTCTACGGAGAAATGAAACTTAAAAATAGGGTATTTGAATATGTTTTCCTTAAAATTTATATACCTCCCATTATCCAACCATCCATTATGAATGGAGCACTAAGATTATCCAATCGCAATGTCATTGCTGTCCACTATTTTATTTTTAATTTTTTTTTATAAAATATTTTGACACTAAATTTTTGGCACCAATCTTCTGTCAAACTCGCACTTGTAAACAATATTTTCAATAAAAAATAATAATTAAAATATCCCTGAAAGTTTCAAAAGTTTTTTGTCAATATATTTTATCAAAAAAAGATTTTTAATACTTTTTTTGTAGGTGCACGCCAATGAGAAGATGGCACGTAGCAAAATTCAAATTCATACAAATTGTATAAAAAAATTTAAAATATTTTTTTGAAGCATCAGATCTAAGATCAAACGATGAGTGACTCACTTGGTTAAAATTGGACCGCTAGATGGTAGGGGAAGCATAGATCTTCTATGCGGAGGGAAAATATATAAACATTTCCCAAGTCTAAAACTCCGCCAAATTTTTTTTTTTTTCAAATCCTTTTGCAGATTCGATGTAAATCACAATTAAATTTTGGATGCAGTTTCTATAAGCCTGGGCTTTATGAAAACAAAGTAAAGCCTCACCTCAAATCCTCATTTGGAGAGAACTTAGGGCATC